CAGTGTACCATTTTAGGCGTCAAAAATTTTTTCTGGACATATAAAAATTTTCCGTGAAGCCAAAAATTTTTCCGGATATCTTAAATTTTCGCCATTTCTTCAAAATATTTTTCTAAATTCCAAAAATTTCCCAAAATTTTTATAAATATAAACTATAAATTACCTGAATCTCGTGATTTTCCTACAAAAAGCATCGTTGGAAATGTGGTTTATCACGTATTATTTTACAACTAAAAGGGCACTTCTGCCCCCCCTGCCCCCCTAGCAAAAGGCAAGGGGGGCAGCCGCCCCCCCCCCCTGCCCCCCAGTTCCGGCGTCCCTGCTAATTAGTATTCTAAAGCCATATGGAATATAATTTTGCTTTGTTTTCTTATTGGCTCTCAAGGGACAAGTGAAAATTGAAGGGTTTGTCCTTTAGTATATTAAGCCACGAAGCAGTTTTGTGCCATATTGTTGGGTTGAAGTACTTGCCTTATCGTCTGTTCAGAAGCTAAGCGATGCTCGTGTGCGAAAAAGGTTTATATTACTTTGTCGGTGTTGGCTTGTTCTTTGCTTTTGCTTTTCAAAAGGTAAGAATTGTGTTGAATATATAATTAACAGTTATCGACTGGAACCGAGGGAGACAGTATTTTTTGTAAACGCGGAACTGTCAATATTTCCCGAGGCGAAGCGGATGGAAGCCAAGAGTCCACGAGACATAATATTTTTCGAAAGTCATGATCAATGAATATTTTATTGCTCCGTCCGGCGTAGCCGGTGGGAGCTTTAAAATGCTATTTTTCTGTCTTTAGGATGTCACAAAATGAACATTTCACAGGTATATCGGTGTATTTTATAAATATTATCGGTGATTTTGCAAGAGTGTGCTTCAGAGACCTATATAATTCAGTTTCAAAATAGCGGTTGCGTGATGAGTGGGCAAGTAATAATTTCTGGCAATTTCGGGTGGGTAAAATAATAACGTCGATTCGACGTTATTTGTGGCAACATGAATATGGACGTGCACTTATTTATACAGTGCTGTTGATGATTCGGTGATGTTGGACGTGCACAACATATTCTCTGCGTTATCTGTGAATATTGGAAACTGTTACTAGTTCTCTTGAAACATTGTCTATCCTAAAAGAAAAGTTTTTCAACCCAGAATACAATACTGGTATAAAACACAGTGGAAATTTGATGGAACACCAGATACTATAGATCACATTATTTCACAATGATACTTATCCCAAGCCTTCTGGGAACCAGATGTGCAAGTGTGTATACTATTTATACATTTGAAGTAGAACTGTATACGATCTATAATTAATAATATATACTGTAGACTAAACAAAGTATAATTAAAATACTGGAGGTAATTCTTTCATTTCTGATTTGTATGTACAGTGTTATGTTACTCTTTGCCAAAATGCCAAGGTTATAATAAGGTGCTAACCACGCCACATCAACTTCCTACATCACCCCAAGCAATCAGCCCTTAATTCCCCTTTACCGACGTAGCGAACGCCTTGAACAGGCGTCTTGTTGTATACCAAATGTCATTGTCGACGACATGAATTGGGTTCAAACACTACTACTTAATGTTGTCTTACATCAGCATTGTTAGGGAGTTTAGGATCTTCATGGCGAACTACCTTCCAGTTTGAAATAGTTTTTATTTATGTTTGCAAAGACACCGTTCGTTACCCATAACGATAAAACGAGCTACCATGAGTATGAACCAGCGATCGATAAAACGTAGAGATATGCATGTGGGCGAATTTGACAGCTATAATTGCATGAAACGCGTATATTCAATACAAAAATTTGAATATACATAATCATTCATTATCGTCTAAAGCATTCAACATCAAGAAATAAACATATAATAGCATGGATATGGGGATCATACAAATCTAGAGATTCGACATCACATTCAAGATGTATATTCATTCTCATGAAAACGTTGTTTATTAATATTGTTAAGCTCCAACCGGCGAACAATAAAATGAATGTATAATCATTACAATGGTCTTAATTGCCAACTGTGTGTTTGTAATGACAATAGAATTCATACCACGTTCATTTAACACAAATATCTTTTCAAGTAAACAGCGAGGAATGTATGTTTGCATGAAGCGCTACCATGTTTCCCGCAATTCGCTGCAGTGATGGTATCGATATTTCGCTGCATGTAGGGCATCTTGGAGATGGGTTCGAAACTCTCCAAAAGATAGTCGTCGATTTCTTGCCGCGTCTCTATTACCCATCAAACGCTGAATTTCTGTTCGAAAAATGTCCGCTTTTATTCCTGCTTTAAGGACGCTTATTGCTTGCTCCACAATGTTTAAAAATGGGCTGTATGGAGGTAGTTTTCGCAACTCGGTATAAGTGATGTGTAACCACTCCCATGGGATTCAAAGGACATATTGGATGATATTTGATTGCAAACAAACAAACAAACAAACAAACAAACAAACAAACAAACAAACAAACAAACAAACAAAATCCTTTGTCAATGTCATCCAACATGGCGACGGTGACGTAACTTGCTGGCGCGCCGTCATATATGAGGATGACGCCCTCATCAGGATCCAGATGGGGTGTGTCTGTGTAAGATAATCAGCAAAGCGTTCACGATTCATTCCTCCCAGAAAGGCCGTGTGAAACACCACGCCACCATTTGCGGATATTGCCAAGTAAACTGTAATTTTCGTCCTTGCTGTCCCCAAGTAATCTTGCTAACCCATGACTACGGGCGGTTAAAACTATCAATATTAAAATGTATCTTGTATTACATGCATTATGTTATAACAACAATTGTTTCACGAATCTATGAATTAATACAGAAAGATAAATGTACTTTTATATTTACAAAATTTACAAATTATGCGATCGAAGAGAAAAGCTTTTTTCCTGCAATGTGTCTTCGATCGCATAATTTGTAAATTTTGTAAATATAAAAGTATATTTGTTGTAGTGTTCTTCGATATTCATTGTGTTTTTAATATCATGTTCAAAACAACTATCATGGGTCATACACCACATCTCTCCCCACGTAACATTGTTAACAAAATATAAATGTTTTTATGGCGTCCGTAATATGTTCGCACCATATACATAACAAGTACTATTTTAATTATCAAGTCCTAACCTATTTGGTTGATTACGAATTCTGACAGGATATCGTTGTTCAGGTTGTTCTACTTCATCCATTTCTCGATTTGGTTCTAAAGTCTCCTGCTGGTCTTGTATGTCCACGGCTGTTTCGTCTTCAGCATTATTTTCATTTGCCAAACCTGGAATATCTGTAACTGGTTCGAGATCTTGAGTGTCGTTTGTTATGTTCTCCGAGGCAAGTAATCGATCGATGTGTCTCCTCCCGATAACATTTGGTGCAATCTCGACCTGGTATGACACTGGTCCGGTTCGAGCATGCACAATTCCTTGAATCCACTTTTCCTTCCCTCTGTAATTTCTGACACTAACTGCCTGCCCAATGAATAGTTGACGTACATTACCAGCAATAGCACCTTTGGGTTTGGCTTGGCTCAGGGGCGGATCTAGGATTTTTCGCACGTTAGTCAAAATTTTATGACGTCATCGATGACGCAAAACGTGATGACGTCATTTGACATGACGTCATTTGATGTCAGGGTGATAGTCCAATTTTTGTGGAAGTATAGATATTTTGTTTTATCAAACTACAAATGCGTAAATGACATAATTTTCGTACCTGCCAATGTTCAGCATATGATATATTAATATATAGACTGTTTCGCCCTACAGTGTATACCTTGGCTCATCAGCATGCCTAGGAAACACGTTTACCAAAAATAGTAAACCATGATCCAATAAGGCAACAAGGACAGCTCCTTCAAAAAGCTGAACACAAGCACAGGTTTCTGGCTCCTTAAAACCAGATTGCTTGCCTTCACACCTTTTGCAAGAGCAAAAGGAGTTTGGCTAGAACTTAGAAATGGGTGATAATAAAATGAACAATGAACACCACCTAAAATGAGCAATCTGGTTTTAAGGTGCCATAAACCCACCTCTGCACACCTTTCACTGCAGCAAAAGGAGCTTGGTTAAAAATGGGTGACAATACGGGACATTTCATGGATTTGTAAATTGCCTTGTTTTTCCCTTTAGCCCCTTCCCCAGTCCTCCTAGCTATTACTAGCCTATGTCTAATCTAATTAAATTCATCATCTTGTTATATACTGTCCACTATCAAAATGTATAATATCACAAGTGAAATGGTGCCTCAAAGCTGCAGCTTCAGTGGAAGCCAACTTTTATTGAAAACAAGTTTGTTTTACCTGGCATTTTAAACATATTTTAATCACAGTCGATTCAAATACAAAATATTTCATTACAAATAACTATTACTTCACTTATCTAGTTATCTGAAATATTAAATTGGCAAGGTTTTTAACACAGTAGTGAGTATTCTATTATTCCTATACTATGCTTATACATACTCTATATAGACAGTCACATACTATCAACATGGAGTTTGTCTGTCAGGGCCTGAAATAATGTTCCCAAAGTTCCCGATCATGGTGATCGGCAGTCATGACTTTCCCTACTTTTTCAGGTTGGAAACCCTGCTTTTCCGCCGATCATAAGCAATTTCTTGCCTATTATTGATTGGTGATCAGTTGTTATTTCAAGCCCTGGTCTGTTGAAAAATTTAACTGGTTCAAGATGCAATGGACCTGTCTCAAGCCAATGAGATCAGACCCGATATTTGGCATTAGCTTTTGTCTACAAAGACTGGGTTTTTTTTTTTGGGGGGGGGGATTATGGGAAGGTGGTGATGTTGAAAGGCTAAGTTTGGTTGATGAAGAAGATCCAAACCCCAGGAAGTTTTTTCTCATGTCAGTGTTGTGTACAAGAGTGAGGTTATTAATTGCTATTGGAGGCGAGAGTGGTCTTTTTGCAAGCCGAGATATTTAACTTTAACCACATGTTCCAGAAAATTTATCAATAATGTTTCCTACAGTACATATGTTAGGAATAATTTCCTGGTGAATTTGCATCATGACCAAGCCAAGTCATTTAATTTAAGTAGTCTTCAACCATAGTTCGCTTATAGCCTTTTAGTGTCCTATAAGTGCCGAAATAGACCTTTCACACTTGCACTGTAAATATTTAAACTATCAAGGTCAAACTAGGTCATTGGGTCATTCCATTTATTATCCGCACCCCCCCTATGGATGAGCTCTGGTAAAAATGTTACCTGTAGGAATCGGATTTCAGAGAAGTACCCTGTTGGAATCGACAGTATCAATCTAAACCCTAGGAATGCTGCTAATTGCCAATATCTCACTGGTAGGAATCTGCTAATTGCCAATATCTCACCGGTAGGAATCTGCTAATTCCCAATGTCAGACCGGGGGGGGGTGAGAATAATAAATGAAATTATTATGATTCTCATAATAAATATTTGGCAATATAGTATGCTACCCCTTGACGGCAATATCTGACCGGTAGGAATCGGGCCAAAGGAATCTGTTAATTCCCAATATCTGACCAGTAGGAATCCCCTAAGTCCTAATATCTGACCGGTAGGAATCCGCTCATCCATAGGGGGGGTGCGGATAATAAATGGAATGACCCATTGGTACCTGTCAATGCTTAGGAAACAGAGCTATACAAGCAATTGCCAGTTGCATCAGATCAGTTGCATCAGATCTAAAAGTATAACCAAAGATTATATTATTATTATCTTTATAAAGTACATTTGCAGAGCTATTATCAGTCAATCAATACTCTATAAAGCATGTACACAATAAATATTTTTTATCCAACATGATCAAATATTTGAGATCAAGTTTCTGCCACTTGAGGTGTTTTAATTTTATACATACACATATATAAAATGAATATGTATGCAGTATATGAAACTTTGGACCTATAACCTCGCACAATTATGCAAATCGTACGTTCAATTCAACGATTTATTGTTCAAAATTCAAACCACTTTACCTTATTGCCATACACCTCTTTATAATCTCCTGAAATAGACGACGAGAATTCGAGAAATCAACACATCTCAGCTAGATAGTTTCGGCCAAGACAATTTTCTTGCATCAATCGAATTTATCTGCTTGAAATATTCTCCACAGAACACCAGTAAGCATTCCTTATCGTCACTTTCAAATAACGATCTAACCTTTTCGAAATCTACGTCGTTCATTTCGATAATACTAAATAAATTGCTTGTAAAATTGTACAAAACTGCAATAAAGCTACCAAGTGCACAATGCTTCCAAATTGAAGATTAGATGGCCAATCAGAGGAGATGTTCTTTAACTCTTTTGCGCAAATTGTCCAATCAGAGGCTGTTATCTATTTGCAGAATTAGTCAAAATAGTCAAAATTTCGCAATCGTTAGTCAAAATAGGTCTGACCAATCAACATGTCTGTAATGTGTAATTTGAGCAAATTTGACCAATCAAATCACATGAACTAAAACGCAGAATAGTCAATTTTCATTTGAATACCGCTTATTTGACTTATCGTTTGACTAATCAATCGCTGGCTCAATGTGCAAAAACTGATCGAAGTTTATATGCTGAAGTGTGACAGAGTTTTGATTGCGTGATCAGAAATGAAGAGAAGTGTTTGCGCTGGGAAAAAATTCAAAAACCTTAGTCCAAATTTTTTTATAATGCCTTTTTTTTACGTTAGTCGCGTGACTAATCTGACTACCCCTAGATCCGCCC